AACCTGCAAACCCCACCCCCCATCCTACAAGCTGCTCCTGGTGCCAGTTTTAATGGCATTTGCAAGGGTTGGGAGCTGAGGAAGTAAGTTGGGGTGAGAGGAGGGGCAGGTGGGATGTGGAGGTTGGTTCACTAAGGGGGTTGTTCATCTGGGGTAGGGAGGGATCAAGGGCCTAAAAATAGGCCCTGATCCTGAGGGTTCGGGAATGAGAACCCTGAAGGCCCCATGAGCTCCCTAATCCCACCAAACCCTCCGGACCCCAGCAAGCCCCTGCAGAGCCCACCTACTCCCCTGATATCCCCCATCCCTATTATAGAGGCTGCCTGCCCTGTCAACCCCTCCCCATGGACCCTGCCTAGCCCCCAATTTCTCCCACAGATGCCCAATTCCCTGCCCCCCCAATTTCCTTGAGCCTGCTTCCCCCCTCCCCAATTTTCCCCACACCACCCAAGCCTCCCTCTGCTAGGCCCCTTACTTATCTTAGATTGGGTGACTGTTGTTCACTTGATCTAACCTCCTGGAGTGTCTGTACATACCCACAGAGACTCCCTCCATGTTCTCAGGAACTTTTATGTTGGAACAGACCAAAACCCTAACTAGTCCTCTACCCTGTATTTGTTGGTGGCCCTATAATTATAGAAACCTCTGAAGACTCTTGATAGACTGTCCGATCCATTTCTGAGGGCCCTGCTACACATTCAAATTAAAGCTGGATAGAAACCAGTTATAGAGTGGTTACACATTTTCAAGTGCTAACTTTATCGCTGGTTGACTCTTATAGCTAGATAGTCATTTTTATCATGTGATAATTATTTTGCACGTGTGGCTGTTCTAAATGCATTGCACAATTAACCAGTTAATTGTGTGATAATTACTTTACTTTGTACTTGTGTCCGATCTAAACTTATTGTGTGATTAACCATTTAATAGTATAATATACGTAATGTGTAGCAGGGGCCTTAATCTTGCTCAGATCTTTAATTTCATTTCAATGACCTCCTCTGGCAGTGACTTCTACAGTCTAAATATACATTATCTAAAAAAGTGTTTTCTTTTATTGGCTTTTGAATTTCCCCTTTTGACTGAAATGTTCTCTTGTTATGTTATGAGAGGAACCTAAAATTAGTCTTTTTCTGTGCTGCTGTGGAGGGTAGTTTGAGGATGGGAACCAGGGAAAGAAGAGGTTATGGTTCCACAGGCTTCATATTTTATCCTTATACCTTGGGATGTGGGGAAGTGAATCAGAAAAAACAAGAACCATAATAAATGCAAGTGAGAACTGATACATAGACATTTCATGGCTGTTAAACACTGCTCATAATTGGTGGTAGTGTGGATTTGGAAAACCAACCTACAGCAAATTTTAAGACACATATGGAAATTAAGAATTGAATCAGTTGTGCTGCACTGATTACTCACATGAAAAACTGCAATATAGATCTAAAAAACTGACTGCACATTAGTACTCGCAAAACCTGTAGAATTCCTGGAGTGTTAATACTACAGGTATGAACATCTGTACTCATGGGTTCTAAATGCAATAGTAATCGTTCTGTATACGATCATTAAATCTTTAAAAATGGAGGAATGAATTTGCACAGGCTTTAGTGAACTGAGGTCTGTTTTCTTGCTAGATGAGGTACTGGGCATTTTTAATGTAGAGAGAATTTTTGTAAGGAAAATTTCTATCGAACCCAGAAGGAAATAAAATAGGTGCTACCTCAAAGGCTCTCACCTCTTTTAGTCTGACTGATTTCAAATTAAGATAGACTTTAAAGCTGTTCAAAGACAGCCAAAAAAGATGCTTCATAAGACATTTTAAAAAGTTCTAAAAAGTGCTATATAAAAGCATACTACATGTACTATTCTCCTTTTATGTATGTGATTTGTATTTGCAGCCTGTATCTAAAGAAGGGTTCATGCAAATTTACATTAAATTTAGCAAAGATTTTTGACAGAGTGGGCAAAATGCTGCCTCATAGCTGGGTTATGATCTGATGCCTACAAATAAGAATATACATATTCACATATATAGACTTTAAGTATGTTCATATTCATGTATAGTTCATGATATATCAGCATGAGCCTAGCTTCTTTGTATACTAAAAGCTCTCATTAAATGCATCAGATTTTGAGCAGAGATCATACTCAAACCACCTATTAAATTTAGCCATCAAACAGGGAAAGTTTACAAAACCTCTAATACCTATGTTCTCTACTCCATTTTCTTTAAAAAAGAGTTATTTACTTACTTATATTTATAATAAATACTTGGGGGAGCAAATGCTGCACTGGCAATGATCATGCCTTTCTCACATGATAACTATAATAAGTCAGCTAAATTCTCTCTTAAAGCCTTGATTAAATTGATACATTGTACTTGTCTTTTGGATTTTTATTTTCTATAAAGTTGGTGTGTTAAAAAAGCTGATGTTAGAGCATGTACATGTGTAGAATTTTCTTAATTTGTATTAAACCAATTTAGAGTTGAAATGACACAGTTACCAGTACTGCCCTAAGCTGAAATAACACAAGCCTCATTTTAAAATAACTAGTTCTAATCCTCAAACTGCCTTACACATTTGTCTCCATGTTACAGCAGCATTGTTTAATGGTTCTTTTTGATTCAAACTATCTTCCCTAAGGAAAAAAAGAAGAAAGATTTGACATAGAGACTAGTAAAAACTAGATTAGGAATACTACTGTTACTGATTATATTGTTACCTGTTTTGTAAGATAACCTCATATTTTTCAATTCAGTTAATTTCCATCAGTGCAACAACAGGAACTCAGTAGCCAAAAAAGATCCTCCAAGTGTTGAGACAGAACAGAAAAAGAAATGAATAGATCCTTAACAAAAGGCATTTCAGCTTGCTTGCTGCACAAGAACTCTGTCAACAGAAGTATGTGTGAAAATCCCTGGGGCTAGAACAGCCTTCTGCAAGCACTGGCCAAATTATTCAGAGAAAGACACAGCAAGAAAAAAAAAGGGGAAAGGGAGCATGAGAGAGAGAGAGTTCATGCTTGGTAGGAACACTATAATCATCCTTGACTGTGAGGGATTGCCGATGGTGAGGTACTTCTAAAAATACTGTGTGACTTCATTCCTCACACTATACCAGACTTTGCCTTTGACACTTTGCCTGACACTGTCACCTGGGGCACCTGGACTCAGTTGCACACTGAACACATTTTGTGTAGGTTGCTATCACTTTTTGAAGGGACTGGCTGAGAAATTCCTTTTGAAGTGACAAAGAAGTATTCAAATCAGCTTCCCCTCTTACTTTTTAATTCTAAACATCAGTTGTTCTTCTGGAAAGTGATTTTGAGAGCTACATTTACAGCCCTAATTTCACTAGGACTCCCTCCCTTTTGCCAGGACAATTTTTCACTTGTTCTTAAGCATAGACACGATATAGGTCAGTGAGGACCCTGGCACATGTTACATTTAGGACACAATTAACCTATTAATCGCACTATAAATAGTAACCCTTCCACACGTTCAGGGAATTAATGGTGCAATAAAATGAGAAGCCTGCCACGAAAATGTTCCACATATTGTAGAACAGTTTTGCAGCTGATTTCCATTGTCCCTTAGATTTTAACATGTGGCTGGCGGCATGGTGGATCTCGGGTGAGAGTCATGTGGTGTAGCCATGTATGGGGTTGTATTTCATGGGTTTAGGTGCAGGGGCAGGAGCCCAGCAGGTAACAGGCTGCCTCTGATGCCAACAGGCTGACAGCCATATGATGTAGCTGTTCATGTGGCTGCACCCTGTGGTTTTCATGGTACTGAGGTGCAGGGAGCCCATCAGCTAGGCCAGGGTGCCAGGTTTCATCAAGCTGCAGGGCTCAGGTATTACGATTTGTACTGTTAGCATATGCGTATCTAGCCAAACCAGGCTATAGCCTGTTTGGTGACTGAGTTCAGCTGACTAGACCTCCACTGAATTTGGCTATGGGATAGTCCTCTACAAAGTGAAGCACAGCCTTCAGCCAGTTACATCCCGAGTCTGGACTGTGCAGAAAGCCCAGAGCACACTGGCTTTGAACAGTGTGGTAATGGAGTGTCGTTAAGTGAGCATGGTAGATCAAAAACTGTTTGCCAAATTATTACATTTTCCACTGGGAAGTGGTTAATCGGTACTGACAGGATAATTTACTTTGCCAGCAAAATGCCACAAAGAAGTCATGACATGGCAAAACTGACTATAGCGGATATCAGGATTTGAGGTGAGCTGGAGAAGGATTAAGATAATCCTGGTAGAGTAGGAAGTGAGGTAACCTTTTGGTCTTTGCTATCATTTTGGCTACATCATCTTCAGAACTGGTGTCTGATAGCATAATGTTAGCCAGTACTGTAGCTAGAGTAGTGGTGTGGGCCTTAAAATCCCTAATGCTATGCATATGTTTACATGGAGTTACACATCAAACAGCTGAGGGTGGGAGATTAGGTCCCTGAAATGTTGCAGTGTGTGTGTAGCCATGAAGCATAACCAGAAAATTGCATGAATAAATTCTGCTAAGTTATAGTTTAATTTTAAAGAAGTATTTGGAGTGGTTTTTATAAGAACAGTGCAAATGGAAAAGCAGCAACACTCATTCTACTTGTGCTAGGGATCTGCCATTATAACAACTACCATTATATAACATCTTTCATAATGACTTATCCACAAGCATTTTAGAAACTGTGCCGAACCTTCCTGACTCATTTTATTGAGGGAGGGAAGGAGGAGTGTGTGCACTAATTGTTGGGCTTATTTACATATTAGGCAACCTGACTGACTTCATTAGGGTTACATAAGTTATACATCTGCACAGAATTTGGCATATACATGAACAAGTCACTCAGCAATATGCAGCCAATTTTAAACGGGTTTTTATCCCACTAGAGCTCTACTGGAAACTCTTTTTCTTCCTCTTCCAAAGTGAGGAAACAATTTATACTATCAAAAGTACTTAAATTACCTCCCCAGATGGACTAAGCTACACCAGTAAAGGGACTGCATTACCTATATATTTTATGTTATTTGGTGGCATATGTATATCAATTAGGAATATGAAGTTTTACACTATCCCTCACTCACACAACTATTCCAGCAAAACTTTTCAAAGAGTAAATCTTTGGGGGACAGAACACCTTTCAAATCTTTGTTCTGTTTGCAGCCAGGAGTGTGAGATGCAAAAACAAGTAAGAGGTATAGAGGGCTACAAGTAAATTTCAGTACGAGACATGGGGCCAGATATAAGTAAGGTGCCTAAACCAAGATATAGGCAGACTTTAGGTACATAAGGTCAAAACTGTGATCCACCCCCCCAAAAAAACCTATTCAGTAGCTGCCTAAACCCTGAAAATGCTTAAAACTCATTAAGCATTAACCTGGCTTGCCTTGAGAGTTTCCTAAACCTTTGTGATTCTGCAATCTGTCTATACCCAGAACTGCTGAATGTGAGCAGCTCCGTGCCTAGTTTCCACCCAAACCTAACTCAGATCCACAAACCAGAGCGCGTGGTACTGATGCCCCCTGAAGAGCCTAATCTAGTAGATATGCTCTGAGCATAATTAATGCAGGCTGATAAGATCAGGTCCCACAAAAATCACAGCATTAGCTACTGTTTAAAATGCAGCTGAAAGAAGAGGTGCTTCTGTGTATGCCTCTTATGTAAAACCCTAGAAAAACATTCACCCAGGTAGTGGGAGACTTGGGTTTAATCCCACCTCAGAGTGAAGGGACACCAACATCTTCTACGTCCCAGCATAATGTTCTTTCTAGTCACTAGATTTCACATTATTCAGTGTAGAAGAAGCATGCAAGAGCTATTGGGGTCAAAAGGAGAGCGAGAAATATGAAGCATAACTATGCAGCTTAGTGGTTAGCATGTTTAGCTATCAGGACAGAGGAGTGCCACACTCTAGGAGCTTCCTGTGTCTTGTGTATCAGCGTTTCCACACTTTAAAATGGTGGTTGGGGCACTTGAACTAAAGCCCGTTGAACAAGCTTTAGTTCAAGTGCCACTGCCACAATTTTTAACCACAGAGACGCTGATACAGGAGACACAGTGGCGCTTTAGTTAGAGCATCTCTCCGAGATCCCAATCCCAGAGTATATGTAAAAATGCCCTCTGTAGCCAGTAAGTATTGTATTGTATTTATTTAGTCAACTTTGATCTCCCTGTTCTAGCCACTGATTTTGTCTTGAATTTAGGAATGATTCGATAAGTGGCAGGCAATTCTTTCGGCTGGAGCACTGCCTAATGGGTTTTGCTGACCTGTTGAGGGCTGCAAGGATAGCCCTGCCCCCCTGGAGGTCCCCAGAATCCCAGGTAAGTCTTTTGGGGCCAGCCCAGTGCTGGCCCCAGCCTGCCCTACCCCACCCAAGTTAACTGGCTGTGCGCCAGAGTGTGTATGGTGCAGGCGTTTCTTGGGGACAACTAGGAGCGGCACAAGGTGCACCACCACTAGCTGTCCTCAGGGAAACAAACATCCATGCACATCTGGACACAGTCACTTTTGGATATCAGGAGTCTGCCTTGTTACAGCGGGGAGGGGCATCTTTGCTGGTCTTTGCTATTGTGTGTGGAGGTGATTCATGCCATGTAATTAAATTCAACCACTTAGCACCTTATCAACCCTCCTCCCAGATCTACAAACAGAGAAGCATTGGTGTAAACCTTTGCAATGCATTTTCAGCCCTCATGGTGTTATTGAAACCAAAGATGTGAGACTGCCTCATAGCAGGTGCCAGATGGCTGATTTTTCTCCTGTGTCTTTGTGAACTGCTGCTTGAGAACTTGTCAATTGGCCCAGCACTGGGTCCACTTGTGGTCATGTTCTCAGGCTGCCTTTTCCCTTATGATCCTCTGATACACTTTCTTATTTCTCTGGCTTGACTTGAGAACATGCCGACTTTCAGTCTCATCCCAGATAGTGATGAGATCAGTTACTTCTTCTGGAGTCTAGTTGTTGCCGTTCTTGGTCTGATCAGACTGTGGGGCCATGGCAGAGGGAGGCAGGCCAGCTGTGTGGGCCATCCTACAATTGGCAATGATCAGAGGATGTGAGCTCCAATACTGTTTTTAAGTTGTGAGCAAACAAAATGGCTGACTAGTTGCCATGCAGGGCAATCAGTAGTTCAAGGAGGGGTGCCACTGGGGACCTGGGCAGTAGAGTTTGTTGGCTAGGGTTATACTGATGGCACAGAATGCCAGATGGGGCACAACTGGGGCTAAAGCAATGCAAACTGGGATACCTGGAAGATGGTCTGGTCTGCCAGGCCCATAAGTTACTGTGCCACAAGGAAGCAGATGTCTTTGGCGTTAAGGCACAAAAAATATGATCACCTCTTGTAATACTGCCTTTTTTGGCCACTTGAAGCATGACATCTATTTTTACGCTAAGTTGCACTCCAAACCACAAATCCAAGTAGAGAAGTCCAAGGCAACATTGTTTTGCATGGAACCATGTTGCCACAGGGAAGGAAGAGACTGGAAAGAACTCTAGGAGGATCTGTGATTTTGAAAAAGAAGAACTATTGTGAGAGACATAAGGCCTGTCCACACAGTCTCCATGTTGTTCCTGGAACGTTGCCATGAAGCACATCCTGCCAACTAACTCACTCTTGCTTTGTGCATGCCAAATCCTCGAAATGAAGCAACATGTCTAAGTTGCTATGGTCCCACCAGTAAGTATACCTGACAAACATAGCAAGTAGGCAAGTAGCAAGCACCTGAATGTTTAAATTGGGCTTGTGCAGATTTTCAATTTGGACTTTGGCAACGGAATACTATGCAAAGTACAACTTAAACACTTAACTATGTTTTTGGATCTGGCCCTGG